GGGCTTTACTCTTCGTGACACCTTGGTGACCATCGTGCAGCTTCTGGAGGATCTCAGGCTGTAGCACGGACGGAACAACCAGGCGAAAGCCGTGGCACAAGACACCTTGCATGTGAGACAACTGGCCTCGCTCACGATGGAACGGCTTGATGTTGTCAGGGACGGTAGCAGGCCAGCCATGGATGACGTAGCGCATCACACTGGATAACACGGGATCTTCAGACGTAGCCTTGGCTAGGTCGGCGAGAACGGATGGACTCGTGAGATCTTCGGCAGTGGTTGATAAAACCATGCCGATGTCGTCTTGCAGAACGTTGTCAACTGATGCCGATGCTGGCGCTCGTGAAAGCGTGTCAGCCACCACCAGATCCTTGCCGGGAACGTGTATGGCTTGGACTTCGTACCGGAGGAAGCGGAGCAGCATTCGTTGGCATCGGATGGGGACCTTGTCCAGGTCTCTGGTGTTGATCAGTGGCACTAGCGGCTTGTGGTCCGTCTGCACTATGAACCTGGGAGCGCCGAAGAGGTACTGGTCTAACCTCTCGCACGTCCACACCGCTGCGAGGCATTCCTTTTCGATCTGCGCGTAGCCTTGTTCCGTCTTGGTCAGGGAACGGGAGGCGTAGGCTACTGGGCGCCAGTCGCCATCGTGCTTCTGGAGCAGAACACCACCAATGCCATAGCTGCTGGCATCGGCACTGACCATGATGGGACGCTTGGGGTCATAGTGCACTAAGCACGGGGCTGAAACGACGAGCTCTTTCAGCCGACGGAACGCGTCCTGCTGTGGGGAGTCCCAGAACCAATCAGTGTCGGTGTGCAGGAGCTGACGGAGGGGCGCTGAGATCGTAGCCAATTCCGGGATGAATCTGGCGACGTAGGTGAAGAGACCTAAGGCACGGCGAAGCTCAGGAACATTCGTAGGCTCCTTGAGGTCGTCAATGGCGGAGACTTTGCTGGGGTCGGGTTTCACACCGGACCCGCTGACGATGTGTCCCAGGTACTTGACTGACGACTGCTTGAGGTGGCATTTGTCGGGGTTCAGAGTGATGCCTGCGTCGGCAAGGACCTGGCGCGTTGTGTCCAGCCGGTGGTCGTGTTCAGCTTCGTTAGCGGCGTGGACCAGAACGTCGTCCATGAATACCTCGGAACCTTTGACGTGGGAGAGGAAGTCCTGCAGGCGTCGCTGGAAGATTTCCGGTGCAGAGGTTATACCGAATGGCATCCGGAGGAATCGGAACCGACCCACAGGCGTGATGAACGTGGTCAGCTTGGATGCAGACTCCGTGAGAGGCACTTGCCAGAAGCCGCTGTTGGCATCCAGCGTGGAAAAGACAGTAGATCCGGCGAGCCTAGCCAGTGTGTCCTCAACTGTCGGAAGAGGGAAGTGCTCGCGCTTCACGTTGCCGTTCAGCTTCTTTAGGTCTACGCAGATCCGTACGCGACCATTTGGTTTACGAACCGGCACCATAGGAGAGCACCAGTCAGAGGGACCCGTTTCCCGGACGATGATGCCCATTTCCTCCATACGTGCGAGCTCTTCTGTGACCTTGTCCTGTAGAGGCAGAGGCACACGGCGGGCAACACCACAGTGGTACGGCGTGGCGTCGTCCACGAGCTTGATATCAGCTGGGGGTCCAACCATACAACCGATGGGCTGTGCTGGCTTGCTGGTACACGATTCTGCTGCATCTAAACGCTGGATCAGGCGAAGTCGGAGGCAGTCTCTGCGACTCAACAGGTTGGTAGATCCAGGACCATCGATAACTACAATCTCCATAGAGAACAGTTCACTCTTGTGCATGGTGTCTGCAGTGAACTGACCCTTGATGGATAGAGGTGCACCAGATGGACCAAGGAGTTTGGTAGTGGATGGTGTGAGTACAGGGCGTTGTACGAGATTCTGATACGTGGAGTGCGTGATACATGATACATCTGCACCTGTGTCGATCTTGAATATCAAATTTGTCGAGCTAACAGGCAGACTTACTGACCAGGCGTCGGTGGACTGGGAAGGACTGGCGTTGGATGACAGCTCTGCAACACCACCCATGAATGGCGACGGGGACGCGAGCGATTCATCTTCGACAGCTCTGGCACCACGCGTGGTTGCTGGAGTGGAAAGACAGACGGCGGCGAAGTGGCCCTGCTTGCCGCATGAATTACACTTGCGACCAAACGCAGGACACGCAGAACGGTTACTCTTGTGCGAACCAGCGTGGCCACACCACGGACATGTTGAAGCTGCAGTGCCGCTCTTCCTCTGCGTGGACGGCGTTGGTGCAGGCTTCGACGGAACGCCGCTGCGCTGGCGGCGACTCCTTGCATCTTGCTGCTTTCCTCCAAAGCGGGATGCAGCATTGACCTGCGGCCTGGCGGCTTGCGCTGCAACGTCTCCGGAAATTTTCTCGGCCTGCCTGGCCCTGAGAACTGCGTCCGTGAGGGTGAGTTTTGCGGGCTCAATCAGCTGCAGCTCCTTGGCGACTTGACGATCCAGAATGTGAGCCACGAGGCGATCTCGAATTCTGTTGTCCTTCTGGTCACCAAAGTCACAGAACTTCGCTGCTGCGTGAAGGTTCCGAACAAATTCTTCCACGGACTCTCCTGGAAGATGGACACACTGTTCGAAAATGGTCCTCTGGTGAAACACGTTCAATGCTGGCGTAAAGTAAGCATCCAGCTTCGTCATGACCTTGTCATACTTGTCCTCGTCTCCAACGGTGTCGAATACCAGTTGATCGAAGACAGTTTCGGCCTCTGGGCCCAGCGAGTAGAGCAACGTAGAGATTTGCACTTTCTCGTCTTTCGCGTTGAGCTCTGAGGCGAGGCGATATCTCGCAAACCGGCGTTTCCAAGCCGGCCAGGCATCTGGAATGGAGAAATCAAAGTCTGCAGGCGGCGCGAACTTGGCCATTTCTACTCGAAGTGTAGACCTGGTTGACTAACTTCTGACACCATGTTGTGTCATGTACTGACATAAGGAAGTCGTTTATTTTACAGACAGATGAGTGTAGATATAGTGAAGAGTCAGGGAGGCCTTGCCCAGCAGAGCATGGTATCGTGCGTAGCACGGGGGTAGTGAGAGGTCACGTACCGTCTATACATGGCGACAGGCAGGGGAAGGACTATGCCGTGAATGGGTGAAAGGGTAACATGATACAGGATAGGACACTAGTGGGTGGGTGTGTTGGTGGGTGTGTGTGTGCTGGTGGGGGTGTGTGCTGGTGGGGTGGGTGTGCTGGTGGGTGGGTGTGTTGGTGGGTGGGTGTGCTGGTGGGTGGGTGAGTGGGTGTGCTGGTGGGTGGGTGTGTTGGTGTGTGGGTGTGCTGGTGGGTATGTGTGCTGGTGGGTGTGTGTGCTGGTGGGTAAGTGTGCTGGTGGGTGTGTGTGCTGGTGGGTGTGTGTGCTGGTGGGTGGGTGTGCTGGTGTGTGTGTGTGTGTGCTGGTGGGTGGGTGTGCTGGTGGGTGGGTGAGTGGGTGTGCTGGTGGGTGGGTGTGTTGGTGTGTGGGTGTGCTGGTGGGTTGGTTTATTACACTGTTCTCGACGTCGTCCACAGGTTTTCCGAGGCAATTTCTTCCAGCTCAAAAATGGACGATTGTCAGCTAGATTTCGTAGAACGTAGGCTGGTACCTGGCAAGGTCTAACCAGGGAAGTCCCTTTTGATGACGTCATTGAATTGGCCTGACCATGTGGACTACACGTGCCAAGATTGGAGGAAATCCACGGAGGCGTTCGCGCGAAAATAATCGAAAGATTACTTGGGCACCATGTACCGCACACATATGGCGCTTTTGAAGTTTCGAATGATACTACTTGTTCTCGCGTCGAGGACCTTTGCCCAAGTAGTTTCTAGTCATGGCTGTCTAGACAAGGGAGTAGGAGCCCAAGTCTTGGAAACTTGCTTGGCGTGGCTAGAGCAAAATCAACAAGTAAGTTTCAGACGCAACCACCAGAGGTCACCAGGTAGCCTGTTCGCAGAGAAGTACGGGTACTGTTCTTTGGTGCAAACATAGCTCCATCCAGCTACGAACATCTTCTTCCTTTGTCATGTCTTTACTTGAGAACGTTTACCAGGCATGGGTGAAGAAGAATATTAGCTCATGATGTCTCTTTTCCTGAATGAATCGAGCTCAAGCAAACCAACAAACAGGCTTCTTGTCGAGTGTCGATTTTAATTTTTACTCCTTGCCGGCCTGCGCTGAGCCTGATCCACGACCTGATTTCAGTGATCGCCATTTTTTCTTGTCGGCCATGCGCCTCATAGATTTCCGCATGAGGTAAGACATGCGCGAACACGCTGCGCAGTGCGTTTGCTGATATCCCTACCGGTGGGTCTGTTTCCTGGCTGGTCGGCGTGTGGGCTGGTCGGTTTCCACAACTTTCCAGTTTCGTCGGCTTCAAGGCTGATCTGTGTGCGAGCTGGTTAGGGTGCGGGTGGGTTGGTGTGCGGGCTGGTTGATTTGCGGGCTGGTCGGTATGAGGATGGGTCATGCATACAGATCGGTCTTGCGTGCTAGCTGGTCGTGCATGCGTGTGGCTCACACGTGCTAGCGGGTTGTGCATGAGAGAGTCGGTCCGTTGGCTGGTTGCTGACCCGGCAGCTTATTTCAATAGCATGTTGAGCCATGGGCAGGTTGGTGTGTTGTGGTTTGGGGCTAAGGTGGACTGTGGTTGGGTTAGCATGAATGTTGTTTGGGGGGGGGGGGGGGTGGGGGGTTGCTAAGGTAAATTGGTGTCTGGGAGTTGTGTGTGTGTGTGTGTGTGGGGGGTGGGGGGGGGGGGAGTTGGAGGGGATGCGGAGTTGGAATTTGGTCCCAGTAAGCTGAAATGTAGAAAGTAATCCGATGATGGTTATGTGCATGTCTGTGTGTTTGTGTGTCTGTCTGTGTGTGTGTGTGTGTGTGCGTTTGTCTGTGTGTCTGTGTGTCTGTGTGTGTCTGTGTGTGTGTCTGCGTGTGTCTGTCTGTCTGTCTGTCTGCCTTTCTCTCTGTGATTGTAGAAACTTCAGCCATCACCCCAGTGTCCACATCCATGGATTCGCCGTCAGCACTGGCAGGAGACGAGCAAGTATCCGCAAGTGTCTCCTCTACATCAGCAGCAGTACCAGTAGCAGCAGAAAGTGAAGGGGATTTCCCTTTCACACACCCCAGTGCAAACAGTCCAGCATCACCAATTACTAGTTTTGTTGATACGTACGTACAGCATGCAACACAGCATAGCCACAGCAGCAGCACCATCAGTGGTGACAACAGCAACTTCACGTATCCAGTTCAGGATGCAGCAGCGTATGGTCATCGTCTACAGAATCCAATCACTGTATCACGTATGTTGGAGAGGATACAACCAACAACAGCATCAGGTCAGTTTGTTCGTAATGTTGTCTCATCCACTGGTGGTCACTGTGACCTGTCTCAACTGTCATCAGAGCTGGACACTGCCGACTTGGGTAAGGGATTAGTGCATGTTGGTGTGTTTATGTTGGTGCATGCACAGGTGTGTGTGTGTGTGTGTGTGTGTGTGTGTGTGTGTGTGTGTGCGTGTGTGTGTGTGTGTGTGTTTGTGCAAGTGCGCGCACACATATGTGTGTGTGTGTGTGTGTGTGTGTGTGTGTGTTTGCGTGCTAGCTAGTTTTGTTGGTGGGTTCACATATCGTATTATCTCTATTACAAGCTCAGTCTCTTGTAGGAGAATTGTAAAATTTATAACATCCCTATGCTTTTTTGCCTAGGTCATCAAGGTGGTAGACGGTGTCGGATTACCCTCGACCGTACCTGTCCCGTACCGTACCATCAAAGACGGCTGGCCACAAACAGCTGGTCAATATTCAAATGCGAGATCATAACGTGAAGCAACTTGAAAGAATTAGTATGTATGCGAAGTGTATCGGGGATACATGCAGGGCAATAGTGCGGGTTCGAATCCCAGGTTATGTCTTGAAAAAAAAGGAGAAATGAAAAATTTACTTTGTTTTTTTGCCTAGGTCATCAAAGCAAAAAAGAATAGCGTAGGGCCCTGAGCTTCCAAGCTCTCTCTTTTATGAGGTGGAATTTCACTGGCCATTTTAACATTTACCTGCACAACTTTACATTTTTGAACAATAAATAATGGCTATGTGGGTATTGGGGGTAAGGTCATAGTTTGTGGCATTGAACTAATACACAAGTTCCAAAGTCTGTGTACGTGTGTACGCACTCTCATGTATTCGTGTACTGTACTTGTGTCATTTTCTGCGTGTTGTTTTTGTGCATATTAGTCTCGTCTGGTCCTGGGCAAGTGGAGAGTCATAGCTTATGGCCACAATGAGCACCGGCATTATCCGAAGCAGGAGCAACTCTATCAGAGGCTGACATAGAACCAAATACAGCATACGCCAGAATTGCAGAACACGATGCAGGTCTCTCATCATGTCTTCCTCTGGCATGTCCGTCATCGTCAAGTTTGGATCCAATTCGTGATAATCTATACCTTGCAGCAACAAGTGGCAGTTATACACAGGTACTGCAAGATACCATACCACCCTTGTCTTCCATCACATCACCTACATATTACCAACATCAAAAACACACCCTGCAACAGCAACAACAGCAGCAACAACAGCAGCAACAAGAGCAGCAGCAGGGCCACCAGAACCTGCAGCAGCAGCAACAGCAGGAACAGCATCACCACCAGCACCACCAACAGCGGGACCAGCACCACCAGCATCAGCAGCACCAGCAGCAACACCAGCAGCAGCAGCATCACCACCGGCAGCAGCACCGGCAGCAGCGGCACCAGCAGCAGCAGCAGCAGCATCACCACCAGCAGCAGCACCAGCAGCAGCAGCAGCGGCACCAGCAGCAGCACCAGCAGCAGCAGCAGCACCAACAGCAGCAGCGGCACCAGCATCACGAGCAGGCCGGACAGCATCACGACTTCCAGTCGTCTGCTTCACAGATGTTTGCAAGGATTCCATTGTCGACGGATGTCGGCACACGATTTTTAGACTTCAACCAATCCTCCCCTAGCCGCCAGAGTAAGTGTTATGTGCAATGTGATTATCTATCAGACATTAATTTGTATGGCATGCATTGCTTACTAAGCAGAAACTGATTGTTCCTGGTAAATAGTGTGACAAGATTGCAAGGAACTGAAGACGATCACCATACCCTGTCGGGTATTTCTATCCGGGCAACAAGGGTACCCTATCGGGTATTTCTATCCGGTTAGCAAGGATACCCTATCGGGTATTTCCATCCGGGCAGCAAGGGTACCCTATCGGGTATTTCTATCCGGGCAGCAAGGGTACCTATCGGGTATTTCTATCCGGGTAGCAAGGGTACCCTATCGGGTATTTCTATCCGGGCAGCAAGGGTACCCTATCGGGTATTCCTATCCGGGTAGCAAGGGTACCCTGTCGGGTATTTCTATCCGGGCAGCAAGGGTACCCTATCGGGTATTTCTATCCGGTTAGCAAGGGTACCCTATCGGGTATTTCTATCCGAGTAGCAATGGTACCATATCGGGTATTTCTATCCGGGCAGCAAGGGTACCCTATCAGGTATTTCTATCCGGACAGCAAGGTACCCTATCGAGTATTTCTATCCGGGCAGCAAGGGTACCCTATTGGGTATTTCTATCCGGGCAGCAAGGCTACCCTATCGGGTAGTTCTATCCGGACAGCACGGGTACCCTATCGGGTATTTCTATCCGGGCAGCAAGGGTACCCTATCGGGTATTTCTAGCCCGGCAGCAAGGGTACCCTATCAGGTATTTCTATCCGGACAGCACGGGTACCCTATCGGGTATTTCTATCCGGGCAGCAAGGATACCCTATCGGGTATTTCTATCCGGTTAGCAAGTGTACGCTATCGGGTATTTCTATCCGGGCAGCAAGGTTACCCTGTCGGGTATTTCTATCCGGACAGCAAGGGTACCCTGTCGGGTATTCCTATCCGGGTAGCAAGGGTACCCTATCGGGTATTTCTATCCGGGCAGCAAGGGTACCCTATCGGGTTTTTCTATCCGGTTAGCAAGGGTACCCTATCAGATATTTCTATCCGGTTAGCAACTGTACCCTGTCGGGTATTTCTATCCCGGTAGCAAGGGTACCCAATCGGGTATTTCTATCCGGGTAGCAAGGGTACCCTATCGGGTATTTCTATCCGGGTAGCAAGGGTACCATATCGGGTATTTCTATCCGGTCAGCAAGGGTACCCTATCGGGTATTTCTATCCGGGTAGCAAGGGTACCCTATCGGGTATTTCTATCCGGGTAGCAAGGGTACCCTATCGGGTATTTCTATCCGGGTAGCAAGGGTACCCTATCGGGTATTTCTATCCGGGTAGCAAGGGTACCCTATCGGGTATTGCTATCCGGGTAACAAGGGTACCCTATCGGGTATTTCTATCCGGGTAGCAAGGGTACCCTATCGGGTATTTCTATCCGGGTAGCAAGGGTACCCTATCGGGTATTTCTATCCGGGCAGCAAGGGTACGCTATCTGGTATTTCTATCCCGCAGCAAGGGTACCCTATCGGGTATTTCTATCCGGGTAGCAAGGGTACCCTATCGGGTATTTCTATCCGGGTAGCAAGGGTACCCTATCGGGTATTTCTATCCGGGCAGCAAGGGTACCCTATCGGGTATTTCTATCCGGGAAGCAAGGGTACCCTATCGGGTATTTCTATCCGTGTAGCAAGGGTACCCTATCGGGTATTTCTATCCGGGTAGCAAGGGTACCCTATCGGGTATTTCTATCCGGGTAGCAAGGGTACCCTATCGGGTATTTCTATCCGGGTAGCAAGGGTACCCTATCGGGTATTTCTATCCGGGCAGCAAGGGTACGCTATCTGGTATTTCTATCCAGCAGCAAGGGTACCCTATCAGGTATTTCTATCCGGGTAGCAAGGGTACCCTATCGGGTATTTCTATCCGGGTAGCAAGGGTACCCTATCGGGTATTTCTATCCGGGTAGCAAGGGTACCCTATCGGGTATTTCTATCCGGGTAGCAAGGGTACCCTATCGGGTATTTCTATCCGGGTAGCAAGGGTACCCTATCGGGTATTTCTATCCGGGTAGCAAGGGTACCCTATCGGGTATTTCTATCCGGGTAGCAAGGGTACCCTATTGGGTATTTGTATCCGGGCAGCAAGGGAACCCTATCGGGTATTTCTATCCGGGTAGCAAGGGTACCCTATCGGGTATTTCTATCCGGGCAGCAAGGGTACGCTATCTGGTATTTCTATCCAGCAGCAAGGGTACCCTATCGGGTATTTCTATCCGGGTAGCAAGGGTACCCCATCGGGTATTTCTATCCGGGTAGCAAGGGTACCCTATCGGGTATTTCTATCCGGGTAGCAAGGGTACCCTATCAGGTATTTCTATCCGTGTAGCAAGGGTACCCTATCGGGTATTTCTATCCGGGTAGCAAGGGTACCCTATCGGGTATTTCTATCCGGGTAGCAAGGGTACCCTATCGGGTATTTCTATCCGGGTAGCAAGGGTACCCTATCGGGTATTTCTATCCGGGCAGCAAGGGTACGCTTTCTGGTATTTCTATCCAGCAGCAAGGGTACCCTATCAGGTATTTCTATCCGGGTAGCAAGGGTACCCTATCGGGTATTTCTATCCGGGTAGCAAGGGTACCCTATCGGGTATTTCTATCCGGGTAGCAAGGGTACCCTATCGGGTATTTCTATCCGGGTAGCAAGGGTACCCTATCGGGTATTTCTATCCGGGTAGCAAGGGTACCCTATCGGGTATTTCTATCCGGGTAGCAAGGGTACCCTATCGGGTATTTCTATCCGGGTAGCAAGGGTACCCTATTGGGTATTTGTATCCGGGCAGCAAGGGAACCCTATCGGGTATTTCTATCCGGGTAGCAAGGGTACCCTATCGGGTATTTCTATCCGGGTAGCAAGGGTACCCTATCGGGTATTTCTATCCGGGCAGCAAGGGTACCCTATCGGGTATTTCTATCCGGGCAGCAAGGGTACCCTATCGGGTATTTCTATCCGGGCAGCAAGGGTACCCTATCGGGTATTTCTATCCGGGCAGCAAGGGTACCCTATCGGGTATTTCTATTCCGGCAGCAAGGGTACCCTATCGGGTATTTCTATCCGGGCAGCAAGGGTACCCTATCGTGTATTTCTATCCGGGCTGCAAGGGTACCCTCTCGGGTATTTCTATCCGGGCAGCAAGGGTACCCTATCGGGTATTTCTATCCGGGCAGCAAGGGTACCCTATCGGGTATTTCTATCCGGGCAGCAAGGGTACCCTATCGGGTATTTCTATCCCGGCAGCAAGTGTACCCTATCGGGTATTTCTATCCGGGTAGCAAGGGTACCCTTTCGGGTATTTCTATCCGGGCAGCAAGGGTACCCTATCGGGTATTTCTATCCGGGCAGCAAGGGTACCCTATCGGGTATTTCTATCCGGGCAGCAAGGGTACCCTATCGGGTATTTCTATCCGGGCAGCAAGGGTACCCTATCGGGTATTTCTATCCGGGTAGCAAGGGTACCCTATCGGGTATTTCTATCCGGGTAGCAAGGGTACCCTATCGGGTATTTCTATCCGGGTAGCAAGGGTACCCTATCGGGTATTTCTATCCGGGTAGCAAGGGTACCCTATCGGGTATTTCTATCCGGGTAGCAAGGGTACTCTATCGGGTATTTCTATCCGGGTAGCAAGGGTACCCTATCGGGTATTTCTATCCGGGTAGCAAGGGTACCCTATCGGGTATTTCTATCCGGGTAGCAAGGGTACCCTATCGGGTATTTCTATCCGGGTAGCGAGGGTACCCTATCGGGTATTTCTATCCGGGTAGCAAGGGTACCCTATCGGGTATTTCTATCCGGGCAGCAAGGGTACCCTATCGGGTATTTTTGTACATAGGTTGTACAGTGAGTTGACACTTGTGCTGCATAGAAAGTGTACAGTAAGCATGTAGCCGTGTTTTTTACATGCACCGATGCGAAAACACCATACTTCAACTACCCGATCAGGTTCTCAGGAGCAATCTGCTGCCCGGATACCCGCTCTAATTACGGGTAGCAGAGGCACCCTTCTACCCGAGGACACCCGTCATTTGAAGCATGAGTGTGTTGATGTGGCCTCTTCCACATCTCTATTCCTGTGTTGATGTGGCCTCTTCCACATCTTTATTCCTGTGTTGATGTGGCCTCTTCCACATCTCTATTCCTGTGTTGATGTGGCCTCTTCCACATCTCTATCCCTGTGTTGATGTGGCCTCGTCCACACCTCTATTCCTGTGTTCAGAATTGACTGCATTGCCAAGAACCTGACTTGACATTTGTATGTCTGCCTGTTTGTGGACGTTCATCCATGTGCGGGTGGTTTCTGGTGTATGCGTGCACGCTTGTGTCTGTGTGTCTGTGTGCATGTATGTGTGTGTGTGTATGTGTGTGTGTGTGTGCGCACATGCGTGCATGGATGTGGATGTGAATGTCATTTGTTGTGTATTCGCCCTGTACAGGTCATGGTGAACTCTTGCAGCAGCCGCCAGAACTTGCCTCTACATTTCCACATCATCCAGGCAAAGAACAAACTTTGCCGTCAGCCACAGCAGACACCGTAACAGCAACAACAACAGTATCAGCGCGCAGAGCAGCCAATAGCCAATCAGCAAGATCCGTAACAACACGAGCCAATGTAGCATCAACCCGGGCTGCAGTAGTAAGTGATGACAAGCGTTTTCAGCCACCTCCTCGGAGACTTGCACCAGAAGCACGGTCGACTGAGAAGACAGCTGTGTTGGCGAGAAGAGGATTAAGAGCGTCATCAGCCATGACCACCTCTTCATCGCTTTTGCCAGAAAGTCGAGTAGGAAGTGTGAGAGGAAGATCAGCTGTAAGGTCAAAGCCACGACATCAGCAATATCCTGCATCTGTAGAACGGCATGCACATTCCTTGAGCACACAGTCACCGTTGAACCAAACATCATCATCAACATCATCCTCATCATCACCACCAGTAGCAACACCAGCAGCAGTAGCTTCTTCACAAGCAGCACGATCACTATCATCATCACCAGTGCCAGCAATAGCATCTTTAGCATCCGTAGCAGCACCAGCAGCACCAGCAGCAACACCACCCGCAGCAGCACCACCAGCACCAGCAGCAACACCACGAGCAGCAGCCATAGCGGAGGTCCCACCACCCAGCTACAGTTTTTCATCTGAGTATGGGTCCAATGCAGTAGTGGAAGCTCTTCAACAAGGATCATTACAGCCCTACATAATACAACCTCCTCAGTACGTTATGCTACAGGACCAAAGTGTACAGTGTAGTCTGCAGCAGCATGGACAGCAGCAGCATGGACAGCAGCCGCTATTACCCGTACAACAGAAATTACAGAAGCAGCAGCAACAACAGCAGCAGCAGCAGCAGCAACAGCAGCAACAACAACTGCAAACACAGCAGCAACAGCTACTAACCGTGCAGCAGCAACAGCAGCAACAACAACAACAGCAGCAGCAACAGCAACAACAGCAGCAGCAGCAGCAGCAAAAACAGCAGGTGCAACAACAGCAACAGCAGGTGCAGCAGCAACTGCAGCAGCCACAACAGCAGCAGCAGCAGCAACAACCACAACAACCGCAGCAGCCGCAACTGCAGCAGCAGCAACAACAGGAGCAGCAACCTGGACAACATGAGCAACAACAACTGCAGCAGGAGGAGGAGGAGCAAGCTGGCTTCACAATAACACCACCAATTGGATATCCCTTGACATCAAATGTATCTCCAAACCACCATCTCGTTGGTCTTGATCCAACGTCAGTTCAGCCCGCATCACTGGCAGCACATGTTGCTTTCCCATCATCGCTCAGTTATGCCGGTAGGTTTCTGAGTGTGTTGGTGTGCGTGGGAGGGGGGGGGGGGAGGAGAGGGAGAGGAGGGGAGGAGAGGGGAGGGGAGGAGAGGGAGAGGAGGGGAGGGGAGGAGAGGGGAGGGGAGGGAAGGGGAGGGGAGGGAAGGGTGGAGAGGGGGGGGGGGTGGGGGGGGGGAGTGGAGTACACATTTCCAGGTGCCCGGGGTCGTACATATTGGGTACTGATTTAAATGTACTGTATTTTCCAGGGTGTTAGCTGCATGCTGCAGCACTCCATGCATAATTATTATGTATGTATGGTGTCATTCAACTACTTTTCATGAACTGCACTGCATCATTGCACCAACACAGAGCTTCTAGATGGTATCAGTTCTGAGTGAAGAAAAAACTAGGTAACTTTTCTAGAACTTCTGCCGTGCCTCTCAACTTTTCAGTAACCATTGGTAACGTCTTGTATGTACCGATACCCATCAAGTTAGGTTGCCAGAAATATCAAAATATGAAGTGCGGATTATAGAGCTTTTTCAAGGACGTGGCGTGAGTTGAGGTAGTGGGTGGGTGGGTGGGTGGGTAGAAAACCAGGTGGGAACAAGTGTTCGGCAAGCTACAAGCTCAAACTTCAAAACTGCAATGACGATGCAGGAGACATTGCACAGTATCTTGAAGGGCGCGTGCCCGCTTGACTCGTGCATGCGCACAAGTCGGGACAGATTGCTAAGCTGGCTGATAACTTGCGTTAGGTTGCTGAGCTGGCTATCAACGCTTCTGGTGCATACATGTACTTGGTCCGCGTCAGCAATATTGTCGCTTATCTTTCAGCTTTGTTTATGTGTCTCCAATGCTCACTTGGCAGCCCATTTCATCCCAATTTTGGTTAGTAATTAGTTAGTTTACTAGTACCTGAAAGGTCTAGCTAGAGTTCTAGTGGATTTCGAGAGCGACGGGTGGGTGATTCTGATTGATACAGCGCCGCATCAAAATAGATTATCTTGTTACGCTGTGCAGGCAAGAGCAGTGCCAGTCACAAGAAAGTAATCGCCTACTCGGAATCAGCTCCATTTTGCTGAACGGCCGAGATCGCTCACCTCAGGGATCGCTCGTCAAGCTGAGATCACAGCTCCCTTTTTACCTCCAGCTCAACGCTCGGAGTATCCAGTGCGTCGTGGAGATTTGCAAGTACTGAACGCGTCGTCGTTGTCGTTCAAAATAAAATATTACAAAGAACGGTGTCTGATTCGAACCAAACAGGCTGTCGTGCTTCCCACGCGAAGTCCTGTAGAGAAGGCGATCATCACGATCGACTTCTCTTTAGAAAATAGCCAGGCAGCGGAGAGGAAGAGAGATGACCTTCCAAAAGCAAGAGAGTCGATCCCGAGCAAAAATATTTGTCACCAGCGCCCAGAGCAGCGACGAGGAGGACCGAAAAAATATGAGCCCTTCCTTGGACAATAAATTCCTCATAGCTAGTTGTAATTCTATACCGTACCGTCCATCATACCAAGTTTTATCACTTCAAGTGCACGCGTTGATGTCCAAAGTCTAAGTTCAAAATTTTGAAAGATAAGCGACAATATTGCTGACGCGGACCAAGTATTTTTATAGTCCATGAGAAATAATACTCTCAAGTCTCAACTGATTATCGGCATACCGTACTCTCGCAATTAGTGCCCCTGCGGCACAAATTTTCAGTCCATCAAAAGCCCAGTTCACATTCGACGGGACGCAACGTAGGGATCGATGGGACGCAACGTAGGGATCGATGGGACGCAACATAGGGATCGACTTGACGCAACGTAGGGATCGACGGGACCCAACGTAAGGATGGCCGGGAAGCAACGGGACGGTCTGACGGTGTCCAATGTGAACACCAGGAACGGGAACGCAACCGTACTACCGTACAGATCGGGAAGCGACGGGAAGAGTTGGATCAATTCAACTGTTCATACCGTAGACGGGCGTAGACGGGCGTAGACGGGCGTAGACGGGGACGCAAGCGTACAAAACGGCTGAAATTTGAGTGTGAACAGCAGACGGCGTCGTGCGCCGACTAGTCCCGATTCGCAGTTGGAACGTTTTAGCATTTCGAACACTGCGCTTCCCATGATAACTTACAGAATGGCTAACACGACTTGAGTTG